ATATATAGCACATTGGTGCTACTGTACTCTACCATATTGTGTGAGAGTGAATCCTACTATATAGCACATTGGTGATAGTGTACTTTACCATACTGTTTAGAGTGAATCCTACTACATAGCACATTGGTGCTAGTGTACTCTACCATATTGTGTAGAGTGAATCTTACTATATAGCACATTGGTACTACTGTACTCTACCATATTGTGTCGAGTGAATCCCACTACATAGGACATTGGTGCTAGTGTACTCTACCATATTGTGTAGAGTGAATCCTACTACATAGCACATTGGTGCTAGTGTACTCTATCATATTGTGTAGAGTGATTCCTACTAATAGCACATTGGTGCTACTGTACTCCACCATATTGTGTAGAGTGAATCCTACTACATAGCACATTCGTGCTAGTGTACTCTATCATATTGTGTAGAGTGAATCCTACTACATAGCACATTGGTGCTAGTGTACTTTACCATACTGTTTAGAGTAAATCCCACTACATAGGACATTGGTGCTAGTGTACTCTACCATATTGTGTAGAGTGAATCCTACTACATAGCACATTGGTGCTAGTGTACTCTACCATATTGTGTAGAGTGATTCCTACTACATAGGACATTGGTGCTAGTGTACTCTACCATATTGTGTAGAGTGAATCCCACTATATAGCACATTGGCACCTCCGTACTTTCCCACACTATATACACCGATAACATCATTGAAAACTACCTAGCTTTAGTTTGATTTTCTGTTGTCAAGGTAATACAGATAATACATAGGACAAAAATCTGTTTAAAGAAAATTGTTAGTTGTGTTTGAGAACTCCACGTGCGAAGAATACACGTGAGAGTGTCAAAACTTATCGTTCCGTAAGAGTGTACCTCAACTTATTGTTTCGTAAGAGTGTACCTCAACTTATTGTTTCGTAAGAGTGTACCTCAACTTATTGTTTCGTAAGAGTGTACCTCAACTAATTGTTTCGTAAGAGTGCACCTCAACTTATTTTTCCGGAAGAGTGTACCTCAACTAATTGTTCCGGAAGAGTGTACCTCAACTTATTGTTTCGTAAGAGTGCACCTCAACTTATTGTTCTGTAAGAGTGTACCTCAACTTATTGTTCCGGAAGAGTGTACCTCAACTAATTGTTTCGTAAGAGTGTACCTCAACTAATTGTTCGTAAGAGTGCACCTCAACTTATTGTTCCGGAAGAGTGTACCTCAACTAATTGTTCCGTAAGAGTGTACCTCAACTTATTGTTTCGTAAGAGTGCATCTCAACTTATTGTTCCGGAAGAGTGTACCTCAACTAATTGCTTTGTAAGAGTGTACTTCAACTAATTGTTTCGTAAGAGTGCACCTCAACTTATTGTTCCGGAAGAGTGTACCTCAACTAATTGTTTCGTAAGAGTGCACCTCAACTTATTGTTCCGGAAGAATGTACCTCAACTAATTGTTTCGTAAGAGTGTACTTCAACTAATTGTTTCGTAAGAGTGCACCTCAACTTATTGTTCTGTAAGAGTGTACCTCAACTTATTGTTCCGTAAGAGTGTACCTCAACATATTGTTCCGGAAGAGTGTACCTCAACTTATTGTTCCGGAAGAGTGTACCTCAACTAATTGTTTCGTAAGAGTGCACCTCAACTTATTGTTCTGTAAGAGTGTACCTCAACTTATTGTTCCGTAAGAGTGTACCTCAACTTATTGTTCCGTAAGAGTGCACCTCAACTTATTGTTCCGGAAGAGTGTATCTCAACTAATTGTTCCGGAAGAGTGTACCTCAACTTATTGTTCCGTAAGAGTGTACCTCAACTTATTGTTCCATAACAGTGTACCTCAACTTTATTTAGATTACTTTACACGGTATTATGTACCTTCACCGCCAGGTGGCTCAGCGGTGAGTATGAGAACTTATAACACTAAAAATCGGGTTTTCTATACCCGCGGTGGGCAGAGTACAGATTACGTAGCTTTGATCCAAAATATAACAAAACTATTATTAAAATTAAGCCTCCTCCTGAATTTTCTTTAGCCCCTCCCCCTATCGATTAGTCTAGCTGGTCACTGTCTTTTATTATTTGCTTAAGTTCAGAAAGTTAGAGGACATCCAAGATGGCCACGTTTGTTGACCATCGTGACTACATGTGTGGAAATGTCCAAGTAATTGTTTTTCTTGTTACGCTATTTAAAACACAAATATGTCGTCTTTATGACTTGTTACGCTATTTAAAACACAAATATATCGTCTTTACGACTTGTTACGCTATTTAAAACACAAATATATCGTCTTTACGACTTGTTACGCTATTTAAAACACAAATATAGCGTCTTTACGACCTGTTACGCTATTTAAAACACAAATATATATCGTCTTTACGACTTGTTACGCTATTTAAAACACAAATATATCGTCTTTACGACTTGTTACGCTATTTAAAACACAAATACATCGTCTTTACGACTTACGATGATCATCGTTTTCGACGGAAGAGCCGAATTCTAAGTATGGCAGGAAGACATTTGTTTTTCGTGAAGCGCTTGGATTCCCATAATGATTAAGTCGAGAAAAATACAAGTAACAGCATGAAATTATATCATGGGACAAATTATAAAACACTATTGGTATTTATATTTATTTCTAGTCAGGGATTACTTTCAGGTGGTTCAGAGCCGCAAGTGAGAACTTACATAAACGTTATTTTTCGTGCCAAATTATAAATCTTAAATATATTATATATATATATATATATTATAATGCAAACTGCACTGTTATGTTATTAAACAGGTTTAAAAATCAAATATACGGGATGAGTGTCGTGTGTGGTTGTTTTCGCAAGCTCACCTTACTGAAATATTCAGTAATGTCGTAAGCCTTTCCAGAAATTCAAAACTGTTCTCAGAAGTATAACTGTTCATGAAGTATAAGTTGTAACTTGATAAGGCGAAACTGTTGAATGAATACTCGTTTAGACGGAACGTGAAACGGAAATCTGGTTTGGCCTAGAAATTACTTCAAGATTATTGTTTGTTTTGTTTTTAATTATGCACAAAGCTACACAAGGGCTATCTGTGCTCTGCCCACCACGGGTATCGAAACCCAGATTCTAGTGTTGTAAGTCCGGAGACATACCGCTGTGCCACTGGGGGGTACTTCAAGATTAGATAATATTGTTTGATTCTATAAATTACCGTATTTTTCGGAATATAAGACGCACCCTTATTTTGAAGACAAAGTTTTTTTTGGGAAAAAAGCTACAGTCGCATTTGAAAGATTTTTATTGAACAAAACTTCAATTTGATACTTTAAAAATTAGTATATATTGTTCTAAACAC